TGGTGAGCGCTTTTCTATCAAGCTTTTGGCAGTTTTCACCTTTCATATGAAAATTTTGATTAAGAGATTTAGATTTTAGATCTTCTAATCCAATAGCCTAGGTCATCAACCGTTGACAATAATGATTTTTTGTAATTATAGCGAAAGGAAGGACCGTATCGCATGCAACTCTGTGAATGTGAGTGGTGAGCGCTTTTCTACCAAGCTTTTGTCAGTTTTCACCTTTCATAGGAAAATTTTGATTAAGAGATTTTGATTCTAGACCCTCTAATCCAATAGCCTAGGTCATCAACCGTTGACAATCATGATTCTTTGTAATTACAGCGAAAGGAAGGACCGTACGTAATATCGCAACTCTGCGAGAGTGAGTGCTTTTCTATCAAGAATTTTTTGGCCGTTTTGATGTTTCATAGGAAGATAGGCACCAAAAAGTTTGATTCTAGATTCTCCATTCCAATAACCTAGGTCATCAACCGTTGACAATAATGTTTTTTTGTAATTACAGCGAAAGGAAGACCGTACGTAATATCGCAACTCTGCGAGAGTGAGTGTTTTTCTATCAAGCTTTTTTTGGCCGTCTTGATGTTTCATAGGAAGATAGGCGCCAAAAAGTTTGATTCTAGATTCTCTAATCCAATAGCCTAGGTCATCAACCGTTGACAATAATGTTTTTTTGTAATTATAGCGAAAGGAAGGAAGGAAGGTATCGCACGAACCCTGTGAATGTGAGTGGTGAGCGCTTTTCTATCAAGCTTTTTTTGGCCGTTTTGAAGTTTCATAGGAAGATAGACACCAAAAATTATAAATCTAGATTCTCCAATCCAATAACCTAGGTCATCAACCGTTGACAATAATGATTTTTAGTAATTACAGCGAAAGGAAGGACCGTATCGCGACATCGGGAAAGCGAGAGTGATTACACGCGGCGCGCGCGCATGAACCTGGACAGATAGCAGATAAAGTGTAATTAGAATTTCGTGCGATTGTCATTTGTAATTAGTTATATAACGCACGTAACTGTAAATGGTATATCACTTTCATGAGTGAGATTAATAGCGAGTTGTGTGTTTAGAGGTGAATGTCATGAAGTTTCTAATTTTTGTGGCGTTTGTTTTATTGAAAAAGTGTCTTTGTTTTACGTAAATAAAGGATACACTTATAAAATATATTCGTGATCGTGACTGCTCCTATTAACACTAGATAGGTATGTATCTGGGTGCATAGTTCCTATCCCTTACTCTTCTTAAAACAAAATTATATTTATCTGTAGGTAATTTTGGATAAAGTAGGTATAACCCGTTGCTCAGATTCCAGCTAGACCATATTACTTTTAACTGACTCGAAGTGCTTCTAAAACCTTTGTCCAGATGAAAAAGACACCACAAAACTCGTAAGGTAAGGCTTTCATGTTTTCAAGAATCTTTCTGTAGGTACTTCTTGAGCCACGTCAATGTCTTGCGGATATGTTAGTAGACAAATAAGTCTAAGCTAGAAATTATATTCTCGGCTGCTAAGACTTACCTACACGATAGAACTATTCCCACCTCTTGTTCCCACCACTACAACTCCTGTGTAGCCAGGATCTACAGCTAGACCGCCAATAAAAACCCAATCAGTGAAGGTCAAGTTTGTCCCGGAGGAAAGGTAGACATTGGATCCGCAACGAATTTAATCAGAAGAACATAGAATAAGAATAATAAATCTTTGGACAATTTCACACAGCGCCAGCTAGCCCCAATGAGTTCGAAGTGAATGTAGAAGAAGTTTAGATACTTAACTAGGTACATATATTTTAAAACAGGTACTATGTTGAAATCACATAACTTACGTGCTCTCAATTGTTTTGCTGTCCCTCCAATCTTGTTAGGTGAACCGCGCTCGCAGATCTCGCCGAAATTGTCCTCGCACAATTTCCCGCCACTTTCCATATTGTCTCTGGTTGCGCAAGCGCACACATTTGGTAATTCGATTACCCAACGCGACCATAGACAAATGCGCCCTGTAATTAGATTACATCTGTGCTCTGACTGTTGACAAGCAATTTGTGGGCTTGTTCATGCGTGGACCAATTAGTTTTAACGACTACAATTTGCTGGGATAATTCAAATTATTTTGTAGTAAAGAGAATGTGTAAGAAGAACCAAGATGTGGTGCTTGAAAACCTACCTTACTACGAGTGCACTCTAATTTATTAACCAACTTCAACAAAAAGAGGAGATTCTCAATTCGGTTGGGTTTTTTTTCTACTATTAAGTAAGTTCATTTTTTCCGTTAATTCAGTAGTCAGCCAACTTTTGGCTGACTTGTAAACAAGGCCGACATGATGGGGCAGCAAGGTTCTGGAGTGGAGGCCATGTAGGTACCAGAAAGCGCAGCGTAGGACGTCCACTCACAAGGTGGACCGACGACCTCATAAAGGTAGCAGGAAGACGCCGTTGCGCTGGATGCAGGCCGCTACCAATCGCTCATTATGGAAATCATTAGGGAGGCCTATGTTCAGGAGCAGTCTTGTAGCTGAAATGATGACGATGATATTTTTACCTTTTTGTCAGTAATCCTCTTCGTAAGTTCTGATCCGTTTCCAATTCAATTTTTCCTGGGGATCTGATCCATTCCAGTGCCTTTGGAGGGTCAAAATCAAAAAATCAAAATCAAAAATATTTATTCAGTTTAGACCACAAGTGGCACGTATTAACGTCAAAATGTAGTAAAAAATAAAAAAGAAAAGGTAGCCCTTATGGGGCACTTTACATGTCTCCTTATCGTTTGGGCCCTACCAGCGCTTCGAGACAAACATATGGCAAGTGCTGAGAAGAAACGCCGGAACAAACTCAGTCACCACTAATTGCCAATTCATCAGGATCATCAGGATCATTGGCTGGGCTTCTTTAAGCTCAGCTCTACATTATCTATAACAATTTATTTACTTTAAATGCAAGTGCTGAACAATGTAGGTTAAACATTCTGTTTAATAAGTAGGTACCTAGTATTCGACATGATCATCACTTGACAATTTGTGAAACAATTAATTTACCAGTGAGATTTTCATTTCCATTCCAAATAGAAATATCTTTATTTATGTAAAAAAAACTGCTCGACACTGATCCCTAAACTTACACACTATTCAGGGGCCAATTCAGGAATCATTAGACCATGTTAATTGCTGAAATATCTTCCTTGAAGGCCATTTAAATCATGTCCACCGAACCAAAAACGAAAAAATAGGTTACCACCAACTTATTACGCCATCGTTCGCTAGCCACCGAAACGTCAACAAAAAACCGTCGCGCGCGCAGGTCTCGCCACGGAAGGCAATATCCGGTTTCCTGTTAACCCCTTTTTATTTTAATTCACAATTATAAAGTTATTTTCGCTTGATTTCGTCAGCTCCTGCTTGAGCCGCATATAAATTGGCTAATAAGTTCAGTTCTGGGGGTGGTCGGACGATTTTGTGTTGTTTATGGATATTACATATTATTTTGGTAATATGCAGTGGGTCTAGTCAAAATGCCATCACAAACCAATAGGAAGTTTTCACTAATGTCAGTCGCCGCGTCACCAGTAATTCGATTCGATCGGAAAATGGCAGCCAAAATGCACATTGAACCACCAACGACGCGGCGATATAAAAGTTCATTCAAAATCGAATAAAAGTTAAAAAATGTCTATGACTTTGCGATTGTTTTTACTTTTTCTAGCTTTTTTTTTTTAATTAGTTTCTTCCTTCTTTCTGCTCTCTGTTTACGTCTNTAGCTATTGTCAGGTATCTATATACATAATTATAATATACTTTAGTAAGACTGTCTAATAATATTATTAATGTTTTCTAAGCAATAACTTTCAGTGTCCATTTTAATTGTCTCATTACGATAATTTTACACTGCACTTCCGGTTTGTGATCTCATGTTGTGATTTGTAGTGTTGTATAAATTAAAATCAAAACAGTAAAATGTTAATATCAATTTTATTTAAAATAATGATTAATTACAATATTTTTAGAACATTGTTATAATCTATACTTATAATAAATCTGTAGAGAGGTCAATACTGTACATGAAATATATTTTCAAAATAACTATCAGGGGGTGATTAGTGATCGATACTGATGCCAAAAATGCAATCAGTAAAATTTTTGTCTGTCTGTCTGTCTGTCTGTCTGTCTGTCTGTCTGTCTGTCTGTATGTTCCTTATAGAAACAAAAACTACTCGACGGATTTTAACGAAACTTGGTACAATTATTCTTCATACTCCTGGGCAGGTTATAGGATACTTAGAAATTCCCACGGGAACGGGAATTAGCGGGAAAATCCTTTTGTATGAAAAATATAAACCGCTTAAGTTAGACGCTTGAAATTTTGGCATGCAGGCACCTTAGTAAACTTAAAGCTTAGTTGCAACAGGATATTGCAAAATTCCCACGGGAACGGGAGTTAGCGGGAAATAACATTTGTATGAAAAATCTAAACCGCTTAAGTTAGACGCTTGAAATTTGGCATGCAGGTACCTTAGTAAACTTAAAGCTTAGTAACAACAGGATATTGCAAAATTCCCACGGGAACGGGAGTTAGTGGGAAAAAACATTTGTATGAAAAAATCTAAACCGCGTAAGATAGACCCTTGAAATTTGGCATAAAGGTACCTTAGTAAACTTAAAGCTTAGTAACAACAGGATATTGCAAAATTCCCACGGGAACGGGAGTTAGTGGGAAAAAACATTTGTATGAAAAAATCTAAACCGCGTAAGATAGACCCTTGAAATTTGGCATAAAGGTATAAAAGGCAAACTTGATATAAAAATCATCAAATTAACAAAATTAAAGATCAATAACTAAAAAAGAGGATCAAATATTATTTTTGTTTACCAAATATTAAAAGAGTATGTTAAACATAAATATTATGTTACCTTTAATGAAGATCATTCATAATTTATCCGTAGATCAACTAATATAGACCCAATAATTAATATAAAGATAAAATATAATAAAAAACATCATTTATTTTTAAAAGTGCACATACAAAAAAGATCAATTAGTTTTTAGAGGATCAAATAATATTGTCCCAAAATTTAAATTGTTTTTTTTATGACGATTCATTAGAACATAGGGCGCTTCATAGGTTCCGCACACAGGCGCTGGCGGCGGTCGGCGCGGCCCTGCCGGCGCCAGACCTAGCAGAATAGCTGTAAAGACAAATTGAGAGTTAAATTAGGTGATTTTGCTTGTGATGAAAATTCTTTATGCACACACATGGCTTGCGCTCATTCTTTGGTGCTATTGGTCAATTTAGCTTGCTAATCCATCGGGCTATGTCAGCGACTTCAGTTCGTTTACGGATCTCCTCATTTCTGACTCGATCTCGTAAAGACACACACACTAGCCCTTTCCATAGCACGCTGCAACTTTGAGCGTTTTGAGCTTTTGGTGATGATAGTAGTGATAACTGTGCTGACATGGCCCAACGGATTAGTAAGCTGAAGTGGCAATGGGCAGGGCATATAGTACGCAGAACTGACGGCCGATGGGTCAGCAAGGTTCTGGAGTGGAGGCCACGTACCGGAAAGCGCAGCGTAGGACGTCAACCCATAAGGTGGACCGACGACCTCATAAAGGTAGCGGGAAGGCACTGAATGCAGGCCGCCACCAACCGGCCATTGTGGAAATCATTGGGGGACGTCCTATGGCTGAAATGATAATGATGAGTAATGATAAGTAGATACCTGACTTTCCAGTGGGCAGCGGGTTTGGTGCTTCTGCCACGAATGGTTTCTGCTCAGGCTGATGCGAATGTTCCACCAGCACCAGGAAAACACGTTTTAAACTGTAGGTATTCCTCAACTGTTCCACCAGTTTTATTGCTTATTCCATAAACCGACTGTATAACCCGATTGAGCCAACTGCGCACCTCGCTGGAATGCGACTGTCCCTCGCACACCCGCACACATCCCTCATCCGTTATTAGAGCGTCGATGTGACGTCACGGCTGCCAGGTACGCAGTTAGCTTGACCGTGTTATATGTCCATATGGCACCCTACAAGAAGAAGGTTCAAAACACAATTTTCTAAGGAACCCTAAAACATACCTTCGTGAGAATGAATTGGCAGCGGCAGAGGCGGTCTTTTACTGATGTTCGGCTCAGGACTGGTTTCCCTTTCTGTAACAATTTATTCAAATTAAATTTCTTTCCACACCCACCCACAAGGTGGACCGACGACCTCATAAAGGAAGGCGCTGCAAGCAGGCCGCTACCAACCGGCCTTTGTGGAAATCATTGGGGGAGGCCTATGTTCAGCAGTGGACGCCCTATGGCTGAAATGATGATGATGATGAAATGGCAATGCCAGATTTTGTATGGAAGGTGGCGTCTTTTTTTTTTCGCGCGGCCATCGACAAAACTTTGTTTTTTGATTACAAAATAGTGTAATAAACCAAACTTACTACGACATGTATACCTCTAAACTCAGTCTGAACTGAGTTATCAGGAACAGGAGCGGGCGTCTACTCCAAACAATCTGAGCACAGTGAAAGCTTAGGGAGGTTTGCAACAGTGTTTCAAGATGAAACCTATGCTATAATCATGTGCGCAGTAAGGAATATAGAACAGGCGCATAAAACGCGTGACATTTACATATTAAGTGACAGTCAGGCAGCACTCAAAGCCATTGCCTCAGTGAGGGTTGGATCCAGACTCGTTTTGGAGGCAATCTTGGCACTGAATAAACTTGGAAGGCACAACAGGGTGACCCTCATGTGGGTACCTGGACATTCTGGAATCGAAGGCAATGAGAGAGCCGACAGTCTAGCGAGACAAGGGTCAGAGGCGGCACCTATTGGGCCAGAGCCGATAGTGCCCTTATCTATAAGCACTGTACACATGGCCATGAGGCAATATACATCCAGGAAGCACAGAGCTGAATGGGAAAGCTCCAACGGTATGAGCCACTCCAAACTATTCCTAGTTGGAAACACAAGATCATGGGAAAAGCTCATACTCAATCGAAACAGAAGGCAAGCCCGAGTGATCACGGGTGCGCTAACAGGACACTACACTACAAACCACATGCTCCACAAAATGGGCCTAACTACGGATGACAGCTGTCGAGCATGTGGAGAACATGCGGAGTCCATGAAACACCTACTCTGCGAATGTGACGCGCTAGCTAGAACTAGAATGGGTCTCCTGGGGTCGGCTTATCCGACACCAGAAGAATATAGGTCCTTCTCACCCAAGCACTTGATCCACTATATGGATAGGATCTTTGTGGATGAGGGGGGATAAAGGTATAGGGAAGCACAAAAGATCCCAATGGGTCGACGTGCACTGCGCCCATGCGTGGCCCTAAAATAAGATAAGATAAGATAGTGTGTTTGTGGTGTATTGAGTGAATTTGTGTGTTGTGTTATGAGTGGTGTATTGAGTGAATTAGTGTGTTGTGTTGTGAGTGAGTGTTGTGTGTATTATGTGTAGAAATTTATTAAATTTAATTTATGCCATCCCATACTACAGCTATGACTTTTATTCTTACTTACCCGCGTTTCTTACTTCGTCAACCGTCTCATAGATGTTGTTGTCATCTCTATTTGATGTTCTATTCATTATTCTAGAAAATGCGGATATTTTCACGGCAGGAGAACTGCTGTATCTTTCTGTGAATGTAAAAAAATGTAAAAAACCCTTTTTTAAAAAATAATTTAATTATGCTACATTTTATGAAGTCACGATAGCCGAAAGGTGAAGGGGTCGGACTAGCCGACTCGTGATCCGGGGAATGCGGGTTCGAACCCCGCCGGCAGAGTAAATACAAATGAGTAGGTCATCTTCATTGAAACGCCCGAGCGCGGTTTGTATGTGAGCGCGCCAATATGTATGCGGCGCGCACGCACACACTGACAAAATTTAGCGCGCTCACTCAGTGCTCACATACAAACCGCGCTCGGTTTCTATGAAGATGACCAACTTATTTGTATTTACTCTGCTATTGTGGTGTACCATCTCTTACACAAGCATACAGTGGCGGCGTAGCATGGGTTGGCACCCGGGGCGATCACCCCCCCCCCCCGTCATAAGTCCTAAGGCACCCCCTGGTACATACCCCCAGGATTTTGGGGTTACCTACCGATTGAAAGATTGAAAGACAATCGCACACCCTCGTATCATGACATAGACCGTAGACTTGCCATGAGATGCGCCAGTGAGTACTAATCTGCGCGACTTGTGTCACCCCCTGATACTTGACACCCGGGGCGGACCGCCCCCACTGCCCCCCCCCTTACGCCGCTACTGCAAGCATAGCGTACCACGAGCGAGGAGTTAACCGGATTTAGCAATTTGTAAATACAAATTACTAATATTCTTTAAAAAATATGGACACCTCCATCATCAGATCAGAGATGACCCTGTCAATCAAATCAAAAGTTTATTAGAATACCTCAACGTTGCGACTACAGTGGCACCATGGTAAGTACAAAATATGCGATAGTCCTCCTACCGCTTCAGCGCTCACCAGTGGGCTGAGTGCGAGTTTACATCAAATTTTAGTTTTTGAACGTTTCCCGCTAGGAGCGCTGTACAATCCATCATACATTAAAATAATGACATTTTTTGACTCATTGTGAGCGCGTTTGATGAAAACTCACACTCAGCCCTCAGTTGGCGCCACTATCTTCGCAAACATATTTAGGAATCAAAGTTATAAATTTTGGGAAAAGGTCCGTTATTCCCTTATGATTTGCTAAAATATGCTTGTGCTTTTAGTAGTATTAACACAGAATAATAATAAGTATGGTATTACGCCCGTATTCACAAACGATGCTTGCTTAAGTGAAGCAGCAAATCGAACGCACAGCGTTCATCAGCTTTGAATAGAGCTATGTGGGCTTAGCGCGAGTTTACATAAAACGTCCTCACTAGTGAGAGCGTTAAAAAAATATTCGTGTGTGACCCTGTGCGTCCACGCGCACTGTGAGGCCTCATAGTAATGTTTGTGAATACGAGCGTTCGCATCAGTTCTTACTTGAGCTGTCGTCCTGATCCTGGGCCCTGAGGGACAAGCTCTCCAGTCTGGCAGTTCTTTTTGCTGAAATTACAATATGAAAGAGTTAATAACTTCAAAAGTTGCAGTGTCTCTAAAGCCTTGATCACACGTACCGAGTAAACGGGCGAGACAGTAAAATGTTTATTCGGGCGAGACAGTTGGGTGAGCGAGTCACATACTCGAGCGCTCGACCGAGCACTCGGTGTAATGTTCATACACACCGAGTACTCGGCCGAGAGCACCGTCTCGCCCGTTTGCTCGGTACGTGTGATCAAGGCTTAACAAAAGTCTTTGACCAGTGTTTTATGCCAGTGATGGTATATGAATCTGAAACGTGGTCGCTCACTATGGGCCTCATAAGAAGGCTCAAGGTCACCCAAAGGGCGATGAAGCGGGTTATCTCGGAGTTTCCCTGCGTGATTGAATCAGAAAAGAAGCCAAGAGAATTACTTGTTTGCGTTTGTCTCTAATGCATGTTGTTTTCACCTTTAAGTTTGCATTTAACAAGTGTCGTTTTTGTAAGTTTTTCTTGTGAATGCTACAATGTTCTACAAATCTTGTTGGTGATCAAATAAATAATAAAATTACCTTTACACTTCAAATACAGTACTACAGCTCTTTGCGTTATTATTATAAGGGCAACCACGACCCCGACGATTATGTATATGTACACTGAAAGCAACAAAAAGATCATTCATCATCAAAATCATCATCATCAAGTCACTTAGCACTGTATGTATCATCGTTTCAGCCATATAACGTCTCCTGTTGAACACAGGCCTCCCCCGATGATTTCCAGAACCGGTTGGTAGCGCTTAAAGGTTATAGCAGAGTTATCAACCCGGAAAGGGATCGTAACCGTATCAACTCGAGGCGGTCAGTATTCATTGTATCAAACTCCATACTGCAACGCATTATCCGCACCGTAACGTAAACGCCTCGCCTCGCGGTTGACAGCGCGCGGTAGGCGTTAACAGCTCGCGAAAAACGATACGGGTGTTGATCCCTTTCAGAGTTGATAAGTCTGCTACGTCCTCAATTTAGTCAGTGCCTGAGGCACGGTAATAATATCATACAGTATTGTAACTTCATATAAACCAACGAAACGCGAGCTTTCCTTCGAATTTCAAATCTCGGGACGTGGTCGAGATGAAAAAATTAGGGGTGTCGCGAATGTGCCGAACGGACGTCGATGGCCTAATGTTGAAAATGACTAAGGTGATTGAATTTGACTGATCGTCATTGACGGTCAAATTTGTCAAAAACTAGTCATTAACTGTCAGAAATGGTCATTTTCAGTCAGTTTGATTTGAAATGAAAATTATATATTGTATAAAACCAGCTTTTGCCAACGATTTCACCCGCCTGAAATTAAAGTAACAGGTCATTGAGTACTCATTATGATTAGTAGATTCAAAATTATTTTAGTAGGTATATTTTTTAAAATTAAATCTACTAATCACAAAACAACACGCATTTTTATCCTATTCCATTCACGAAGTATTCGGTTTGTCTTAATAAAAAAAAATTACTATCACAAAACTAGATAGAAATTCTAAGTAGACAGATGTAATTAGAATGGGTACTGTAGGTGAGCAGCCCTATCGCATGTTGTCATACCGTGACGAACCGCGGGGCTGTTGACATTTATTTAAAAAATATGGCCGAGTTGGAATACTGTATAGATAGTATTACCGTGCCTGAGGTATGGGAGCGGCACGGGAGGGGTGACATTTACTTATGACGTTACAGAGTATTGGCTCTGTGCACGATTACAGCGCCAACTAGCGTCCATAACTTTGTGGGCTCTGTCACATTGACATTTAAGTCGTTTATTTGTGAAAAAATATCGAAATGAAAAAATAACAAATATTTTTGACTAATAAATTGTTGTGATACCACGATTTGGATGGAAAAAAGGTTTTGAAATCATTTTGGTCATTCAAATCAAATGAGGTAAGTCCGAAAAGTGTGTTTAATTTTGATTGTGTCAGGGTTTGTTTACTTCATTTATAGTTGTAGTTTTACAGTAAAACAAAAAGAAAAAGCTACTTTAACGGTTTCATTATATTACAGCAAATATATTTAAATGATCCTGTATCGCTA